ACTTCAGCGTGTCAAGAGGTTCTGGGCCCCAAGCAGCATCATTACAAGGAATGGATCTCTATAGAAACACTGGACAGGATCAAAGAAAGGAAGAACAAGAAGACAGCGATTAACGAAAGTAGAAAATAAGCATAAAAAGTTTTAGGACATTGAGAAAAATACCCAAAAAATTGTTCTGTTAAGTCTAATGCTATCCCTGAACGTAAAATGTTTTTATTTTCCTACTGGTCAATATTTATTTCACATGTCACTTTCCTGTTGATCAATATTCACGGTAGTTCTAACTGTAGAAATATGCATTTGTCAGTAAATTATTATTCTTATTATTCTTCTCCTGACCCTCATAAACAATTTTTATCTAACGGTTCGTGTTCTGATATATTGGTGATTAGGGAATAGTATTGGGGTCGTACTGGGATATCTGCAGTTGGTCAATCGGTAGAATTTAGAGTAGGCACCACGCGGTTCACAATAGAATATCAAGGCACAAGCTGAATACATAGAAGTAAGCAAGAGAGTTAGAAGGAGCATTAGAGGAAACAAGCAGAAACATGTAGAAGAAATAGAAACGACGGCGGATAAATCTTCAAGAGGAGAGAATACGAAATAACTATATGATATAATCATTACATATTTCCGCATGAACAGGTACACGCCATTTTTACAGGCACGATCTACAAATTACAACATTTGTTGTCTCACAGCATGCTTCTCAGCTTATTAAGTTTATAGTTGTTATAAAGTAGACTTGTAAAGAGCTTTCTGTAAACTATGATCTTGAGGAGACGTGTATGTCAAGTTTGTTCCAAACGTCAGAAGTTCCATAGATGTGCCCTCGAAGCGAGATTCTAAAGAAGGAAAAAAGAGAAACAGAAGTGCTGCAAGGCACTTGGATATGAACGCCTTGTGTTGCTTAACATCTGTAGTAAACGGACAGAGATAAAATGAATTAGATTAAATTCACATTATCTCTTGTTAGAGTGAAATGAAGACAGAGGCTCCGTATTAGAGAGCGTAGTAATAAAGTATAACGAGTTGTGATGTTTAACAAGGTGGGGTAAGCTCACATGAAGGAAGGGAGGTCAAGGTTAGTACAAAGAAAGCTGTTTATTATAACGGAGTGTGTATAGAGAGGGTTAGGTGTTAAGAATACTAATAACTGTTTCTTTTTTGTCTGATTTTTTCCTTCTTTTGTCCATCCGATGCCGGCCACACAATTCTAGTGTAAAAGTCCGAGTTAGCATGTTATAGGTTGTCTCAGTAGAATATCTAATCCAACATAAAGTTGGAAACATGAGTTTGAGGGGTGAGCTCTGGAAGACAATCTACATCAGAGAGCCTGATACATACAAAATGTTCTGCCCCACAAACACGCAGGGATTGAAGTCATCGCCCTCTCCATCAATGCTTGCTGGTCAGTAACTTTACCCTCCCTCGTTTTGTGATGTTACGCTCATTTAAGTTTATTACTGCCTATATGTCATACCCCACTCAATCCTCTGTGTTTCACATACTGTTGGAAAACACTATTTCTATAAGTATCATTTTACAAGCCTATCAGGCAGTTACAGGTTATGGATTGTGGGTAAGGCATCGATGCAGAGCTTTAATTGACTATAGTATAAAGTATAGTTTGCCGATTAGAGTATAAGCACTAAGAAGTGTATAATGTAGGATAGTTGTTAATTAAAGCAGACGGAAAAGTACAGAAGTATATGGGTTGTAGTTAATGTAATGAGTGAAGAAGTAATACTAATTCCTAGTCAACATAGTGTACAAAAGATTAAAAAGCTGATAAGGAATAAACTGGAAGAAACTCACACTAACTTGGTGCTGATGCTATTTCGTGTTGTCCCAATCAGTTGATGGGTAACAGGCTCCATAGATGCAGGACCACTGGAAGAAGGCAGTCGATTGTGCGGTCCTCTTGACTTTCTAGGGTGTTAATGAGTGTCCAGTAAGTTACCTGTCTTTTTCAAGTGAAAAAATAGGGTGGAAAAAGTAACTAATACAACTGCAAAGTAGGAAACAATAAGGCAAACTGAATTTAAAGTCTATTTCGGTCTAGACATGTAGAGAATCTATGATGTATGAGTGAGGCGCAGATGTGTTCGTAAGTGCTAGATCAGTGCAAATGAGGGCTTGATCAAGCAGTTTTACAAACGTATGTAATTCATCTTCCATGCGTATTTCGGAAGGAAGACTGTTCCATATTATTGCATACTTAATGAGGAAGAAGTTTTCCCGAGTTTTCGATCTGTATTTCTCAACTTTGTTTCGAAGTACATATTCATGTGAGTTTCGGGCAAGAACTATATTACATGTTGAATAAGTAAGGTTTTTGAGTAGTTTGAAGTAGAGAATCGAATTGGGCTAAGCCTTCCATTCCAAAGATGTGCTGTTCCTAGGTTTGGCATCGGGAACTGTAGTCAACGACTGATTCAGTCTTAAGTATTTTGCGGGTGAAGTCTCGTTGTATTCCTCCCATCTTTAGTATATCAGATAGGCGTAGGTTGGAAAAGAAGAACGAGTAGTATTCAACGATAGGTCTTACAGAAACTTTATAAAGAAGGATTTTAGATTCATTTTGATAGAAATTACGGAGAATGAAGCCAAGCAATTTCCGCATTTTAGATGCTTTGGCTGAGATGTGTTAATGATAATTAGGAGTAATTGAATTATAGTATGAACTAAGAATCCTAGAGATAACGCAATTGAATCAAGAAGTATTACACAAGCATTAACAAATGTATTGTATTTAGAATTCGAAATCAAACATTCAACAAGTACAAAGGAGTCATTATTTCATTCAAACACCACATCCGCCACAGCCTAAATTGGAGTCTAACTGTCTGTAATTGATTGCACGTCTTCTTCTTAAGTTCATCCTGTGTCTGTCCAACAGTGTATTGGATAAAGACTCTGTATTATTTGATTTCTGGGGTTGTGAATACTGAAACTACTACCTAGGATATGAACCATAGACTATCCTCCCCCACGAAATAATGTCAGATCTTCATATCCCCAAGTTATGAATAATGTGGCTTCATTTAAAACATCTTTCTCAATTTGACTGGAGTAAACATTGGAAGTGAATTTATGATAAGGACAAACAACAGTTGATATGGAATTATCTGAATTGTAATCAAACTCTAACTCATTTAATACTCGTGCTTCGCATCGAACAAGTTTCTCACAAGAAACAAATGCATCATGAGGACAAATAATATTTGATATGACATCAAGATTTGATTCTTCTGAAATAGTTTCCTCAAATTTATTAAGAATGTCATTGTAGAGTAAAGGATCATTAGAAAAATCAGCATCAATCAAGACTACATCAGACTTTCGATCATGATTAGGTTCATCCGAAATATTCTCATCAGGTTTGTAAGAAATTTCATCAGAAATATGAGAATCATTAGGAAAAATCGTATCTGGTACAATAACATGAGAAATCTGATATGTTGATTCATTAGAAATTGTTTTCTCGCAAGGATTCTGAGTTTCATTTAACTCTGAAATACTGTATGACTCTAAACTGTCTTTTGAAATCGTCGATAAAGATAAATGATCATTATAAATATTCAAATTAATAGAATAAGAATCACAAGACTTAACATTAGTTGCAGCAAGATGAACAGTAGTATTACAAACTGACGGAATATGTCCAACATCAACACATTTAAAGCACTTAGAATTACGAAATTTACATGAATTAAAAGGGTGGAACTTGCCACAGGAAAAACATTGACTAAACTTGTGCCCATCTTCGTGAACTGCACAACCTTGAGTATGCACTGGGATGGGGTGACGTAATGTAGTGGAATTTTTTATATCCTCATAAATTATTTTACGAAATCTCTCTTTACCGCATTCGAAAATTGTATACTTTGCATAGTCTAGAAGTAGTTCCTTGAGAGTTTTATAAGGAAGAGAAATGGGCCAAAATTTTTAATAAGCCATATGCTTCTTTTCCAATGAATGTGAGAAAATGTGCCACAATATTGATATCCTCATCATCTTTCTTGGTCATGCTCCAGATTTCAAACCTTTCCAAATAGTCTTCAAAAGCTTCAGAAGTTGAATGAATATCTAACTGTTTCATCGCAGGTCCCATCGCGACGCCAATATGATAATTAGGAGTAATTGAATTATAGTATGAACTAAGAATCCTAGAGATAACGCAATTGAATCAAGAAGTATTACACAAGCACTAACGAATGTACTGTATTTACAATTCGGAATCAAACATTCAACAAGTACAAAGGAGTCATTATTTCATTCAAACACCACAGTGTTCCTTCAATTAAGGAACATATGGAACTCAAAACAACTGTCACCCAATATCAAAGTCTGAATCTTCAATACGAACGTCAAGGCAGTTCTACTGTACGGAGCTGAATCTTGGAGAAATACTACAACCATTATCAAGAAGGTACAAGTATTTATAAATAGTTGTCTGCGCAAAATACTCAATATCCATTGACCAGATACCATTAGCAACAGCCTTTTGTAGGAGAGAACAAACCAGATTCTAGCTGAAGAGGAGATTAGGAAAAGACGATGGAGTTGATGGATAGGACATACATTACGCAAACCGTTAAACTGCATCACGAGGCAAGCGCTAACTTGGAATCCTGAAGGGAAGCGGAAAAGAGGAAGGCCAAAGAACACATTACGTCAGGAAATAGAAGTGGATATGAAAAGGGTGCTTAACAACTGGAAAGAGGTGGAAAGGGTTGCCCAGGACAGGGTTGGATGGAGAGTGCTGGTGGGCGGACTATGCTCTTCCTTGAGGAGTAACTGGAGCAAGTAAACAAGCATTGTTCTCCTTACGCCTCCACTGAGTTTCCATGTTATTTTGTTCTTTTCGACAGTCGTATTGAGTTATTTCACTTTTTATTGTGTTAGTTGCGTCGAATGGAATTGTGTTTTTTTAATTGTGTACTGACGACTCTTCTAGATTTGTTGGCACTATCCAGTTGATTGTACTTTCTCGAGGTCATTTTCAGAAAGGTCGTTGTAGCAGCAAAGTTGCTACGACCTACGGGGTGACATCCTGACAGTCTGGTTCTAACCCAGTACTTGTAATTTCAACAGTGTCTGCAGTAATTTTTAAAACCAAAGCAAGTAAATTATTAGTTTAATACAATTGTACTAAAATTTGGTCATTGAGTTAGTTCTGTGATTAAATTTGGATTCGACCCAATCTTCCGAATCTAGGGAAACTTTCTCCGATTTTCGGAAAATCCGGAAAAACAACAAATGAAAACGTTCTGGTAGATAAGACTACGGAAACTAAATTTTTCCCTCAACGAGGGAAAAATTTCTACTAAACTCCCAAGACTTCTCCGAGATTGGGAGGTTGGGATATGAAAATTTGTGCGCATTACTGAAGCTTATTCAGATCAATGATTCTGGTGATTATGTATATATATATATATATATATATATATATATATATATATATAGTCTATGAGTGCACTTATATGCTTTCATATGTTTGCCACTTCTAACCACAAAATGTGAATTCCTTGCCTAATCGATCTTAAGACGTGGAGATCTAATGCTTGTATAAACTTTTTCACAACACTAAGTTAACCAGTGGGTTGATAAAAATCACAGTAAATACAACAAACTCAAATGGTCGTACCGATCCAACTCCGAGTCCAACTCGGGTTTAACTTATGTTGATTTTCTATCCAGCGAAAAATATCATCATCCCTTTATCAAGGGATATTTAAAATGAATGATAAGTATTGTTAAAGAACGCTAATACTTTGTCGATATAGGTCCAGTTTATAATTTCGAAATTTTTTCATTGTTTTGCAGATGGCAAATTCAGGAGTTGATTCTGTGCTCATAGTATCTAAAGAGTATTTCGTCTCACTTGTGCGAAACCCAGTTAGACGTATACTAGTGGCGTGTAGTCTTGGATTGATATCATGGAAAATAATAACTTGTATCCGTACTTATCAGAATCAGAAACTGTTAAAATCAAAGCAGATGCGTATTACTGATAACACGGAGAAAATGAGGGAAATGTTGTCCAAATTAACTCAATCATCTATACCGATGGCTATTTGCAGTGAGAATTTATCCTATCTTTGTGAACAAATCAAAAAGAAAAGAATGAGCCCCGTGGATGTTCTACATGCATTTCAGTTCAGAGCATTACAGTTGCAGGACAATAATAATTCAGGCATTGCTGAATTCATTTTAGAAGCAGAAGAGTACGCTGCTAACTTGATGAAATCCCCAATGAATATCGACGAACAGTCCGGATTATACGGGATCCCCATCAGCATAAAGGAAGGGATCGCGGTACGTGGCTATGATGTCACTATGGGCATCATAAAACGATGTAATCAGCCTATAGATGAGGATTGTGTACTCATCAAGGTACTGAGAAGTGTTGGTTCAATTCCTTTTGTGACCACCGTCACAACTCAGTTATGTCGCACACTGGATAGCTTTCACAGTATTTATAATGATGCAAAAAATCCATTTAATAAATCCAGGTTGCCGGGTGGTAGTTCTTCGGGTGAAGCTGTATTATTGGCGCAGTGTGGTTCTCCTGTGGGTATAGGTGGAGACATCGCCGGTAGTATCCGAATACCCTGCGCATTTTGTAATTTAGCTGGCTTGAAACCAACTTCTGGGAGACTGAGTCTATTAGGTTTTGTATCGGCCGCCAAGAAATCAGTATTATATATATCATCTTGCCCAGGTCCTATGGCTAGAAGGGTGGACGATTTAGCTTGTGTGATGCGTGCATTATTGTGCCCTACAATGTTTGATTTAGATCCATATGTTATACCGATGAGCTTTGACCAAGTGTCTTATGAAGGGAAGAATAGAAATCAGTTAGTGATCGGTTATTATAGTAGCTTCGACGACCCAAATCTCATTCAAGTCTTGGACGTAAATCAGCGAGTTGTAGAGAAAGCAGCCAAATTATTAGAAAGTGCTGGACATCGACTTGTAAAGTTCACAGTTCCTGATCCTTATAAAGCTTTTATACTTGGTTTGCGTGCCTTGTTTGCAGATGGTGGTCAGGAACTTCGAAGTCATCTACGAGGAGAACCACTTAGCCCGCATATTAAACTTATCGATACCGTTGCAAGAATTCCAGACATTTTGAAACCTATTGTCGGTTTCATTTCCAAACATTTTGTTGGTAAACCGGTCTGTCCGTTAGCTGCATTCCAGAAACTTGGCAGTGGCCAGGCAGCAGTCAATTTAATTTCCGAAATCAAAGCTTACCGATACGAATTTGCAAAAGCTTGGAATAAAGCAGGCCCACTGGATGCGTTAATATGTCCTGTATTTCCTTATCCTGCACCACCAGAAGATGCCTCACAAGTATATATATCTTCATCCCTTATCTACACTTTCTTGTATAATATTCTGGACTATCCTGCTGGAGCTGTCCCAGCTGGCTTTGTCACCGAAGACGATGTTCGAAATTCATTAATGAAATCCAAATCACTATATTCTTCTGGTGATTCTTACATGTCCAAAGTATACGGACTATTAGATGGAGCAGAAAACCTACCACTGTCTATTCAAGTGGTTGGTAAACCGTATCATGAAGAGACGGTTCTTCGAGTTATGCGTGAAATAGAAAGTAGTTTCTCTCAACAAACTGAGTCGTAATTTCAAAGAGTATTTCTACCTTTTCTTATCGTGTTTCCTCTCTATTTAATTTCATCTCACCTTTGTTTCTCTACCAGCATCTTGTTAAGTTTTGATTTAAACTTTTGTACCTAGTCCTTCTGAATTAAGATTGATGGTTAGTGTATTTACTCTACATTTTCATTGGCAACCAAAGTTTATTTTCTTGATCTTTTAGTTCTCGTTACTGTGATAATTGTGTTTTTTGATCTTCATTGTAGATTTTAGCAGACAATTCCATCAACTTTAACCAGAAATACCATACTTATTAATAATGTGCTGATTTTTGGATGATAGCGGATGGTAATATTAGTCAGTTAGGTGTAATCAGATAGAACCTACTACTGTATAATCCAATTTGAGATTAGAAAACTTTAAATCAAATAAAAACGATACAGTTTCATTAAATAGAACAGTAAAGTTTATTTCTTATCTAGAGCGACGTGACTTCTTTTAGGATCTCGATAGTAACTTGTCTAGAGGTCCATTGTAGGAAAGATTCTGATGTTTTAGAATCCATACACTTGTGTGTGGTAGTTTTTTGGAAATTTGTTTAGATTTCATATCTACTGGTACTCACTAATGAGATGAACCTGTTGTTATGAGGGAATTTATCATGCTTTTTCTGGTATGGTAATTCTCTTTCATGGCCAGTGTTATACGTTTTATTGACGAATTATGTAACGTTTTACTTCGGGTATATCTTCAGTACACCTTTGCTTGTTGACTATTCCCAGTAAGATATTAGCAATACAATTTGGTCGAAGAGATATTGTTCAGTTATTATCTGATTACGTTCAACACTAATATATGGGTTTGCAATTAAGTATAAAATTAATGTAGAAGAAATAAATGTAACTCAAACTAGCAATATATCCCAGCATTTCTTCTAAAAGTAATAATAGATGTAAATTTAGAACGAATATAAAGTTGTTCAGCCGGGTTAGTCATTACGACTAGCCACATACGAATAAGAATTGAGTTTGAAATGAGGGAATCGGATATAAATACTTAGTGTTATCTGTGGGAATAGTCCAAAGAAAATCAAATAATCAAGTCAGAAAATTGCGTAATTATAAAATGGCAGTAATTGATTAGAGGATCAGGCGTGGAGACTTCACAAGCGGTTTCTGTCAGCAAATATCAGATTTATTTAGGCATATTCATTCTCCTGCTGTAAGACATTCTGAAAGCTTGGAGTAAGCTTGACGCAGTTTCACAGAAAACTTTGAACGCTAACATTGTGACGATGCGGTGACTAATATTTGTAGATGCTCCAGCGTACAGCTCATTTTTCATTGTTTGGTCAGTCATGAAGTTCGGAGCTTGGAAAAGTAATTAACCTGAATATGCTCTCAATACAAATCGCTTCACAGGCATTGAAATGGTGAATAACCAGGCAGCAAACCTAGTTTATCTTTAATTTGTGGACATACTGTTTTCGCGTGGAAAAGAATATGGCTTTGTTGCAGTCAATGTTTACTACGAGGCCTTTCCTTTTTATTACTATCTCACTAGTCATATCATCTATAATTTCTAAAATAAACGTTTTTAGGCGGTGCCGATAATTCCATTTTGCTTAGGATGTATTTCATTAGAAACTTTGCCAAAATCCCGCTTTTTAGGGAAATCGTAGATTCATCGTAATCCCTCTTCGGATGTGTAATTAAACCTAATTTAACTCGCATTGCAACGAAGAAAAGCTAAAAAATCCATGCATTGGCTTTGTGTAGTCGCCTCACGATAAATGTTTACTTTTACTACCCCTTTAGGATTTATGTGCTACCACCAAGACCAAGTATCGCATTGAAGGCTTAATGAGCATCACCATGGCTTGTGCTTGCTATCAAAGGACTGAATCTGTTCGTTCTGTGATTTTCGTGACAAATCAGTTATATCACAAGATACCTATCACTGTATCTAATAGGATAGAAGAAATCTGTTAACTAACTTTAAGATGCGAAGTGACTTATGTTAACTGCAACGGACCATTCCTCAATGACCATTAAAATTTCAGTGTGTTTTGAAATCGTATCTGCACATTAAATTCTTTTGATATCACTGTCACATCTTTTGTGCAGTCATTCAGTCACTAAAGCTTCAAATATAACGTAATACAACTGCCGCAATCATGTTAATAGGTATACCTTCTTTTGGAGCTTGAATTAACATACAGTCCTATTATGTCTGGGACAACTGCTGTCCAGTGATTGCAGGGTTTCAATGGTGGTTTAGCTAGTGTCAGTCCGTGATTTAAACTTTGATAATCCTATGTGATTGACAGTGACTATTATATATCGTGGTTTTTAATCCATCTGCTTAAAGCAATTTTTGATGAACTTTTCGTAGTTATTTTTTGCCAGTGGTCTTTAATCATGTAGTCCGTGTCTGGTATATTACCTATTCAACGATGAGAAAAAACTTATACTGTATTTCAGGTTAAAAAAGTGAGCTGTGAACTGTTGTTTGTTATTTTCATTTTGATTACCAATAACGAATGTATTGATTAACAACTCTAATACGAATATTTCTGGATATATATTTAAGTAATTGAATGCATTGGAATGTACATCAGTAATAAACAATAAAAGCATAATCAGATTGAATGCATACGACTAGATTGTGATAATAATATTATTGAATTAATACTAGAATGAAACCTCTTAGTAACTGAACTTGATTTATGTCTACACTGGCACTTGTAATAATCAGTAATTGCATTTTAGTGGAGTAACAGCTGAGCAAAACTTAGTCACAAAAGTTGAATAACTGCATTTGACAATCAAATACTCTATCAGATATCGTATTCCAAAATGAGTATATGGTTGTGTGGATGTAATATGCTTGTATTAAATGTCAAACAAAGAACCAGCCGGCCCAAAGATGTTCTGTGAATACTCAGTATCATGTTACCAAAGTGAATGGAGTAATAAAAATCTGAATAAAGCCTGTACAGTTCACCAGTTCGGTGTAATGGACTGAAGATTTGAGCAGTTGTGGTGTTTATATGAACTAATGGTTCCTTTGTACTTGTTGAATGCTGGATTTCGTATTCCAAATACAATACATTCGTTAGTGCTTATCTAATTGCACTATTTCTGGGATTCCTAGTTTGTACTATAGTTCAAATACTTCTAATTATCATAGCAATATGTGAAACTGTAAGTTTCATTGTATCATGGTCTATCTAGCAGCGATTAAAAGCAATTCTCTGATTCAGTTACTTGCATCAATCTGAAATACATCTGTATAATATAGTTCACTATGGTACAAAATTTAATGTTGCTTCAAGACTGGAACTATCTGGTTACTGTGTTTCACTACAAATATAGGTAGATATTATGCTGGTATTCGTTCGTATTGTATGGCCATCTGTGAAGTTTGACATTGAAAACTAGTAATTTAATCCAATATATTCTCAAATATTTTTGATTGAGATCATGAATCGACTGATGTTAGACCACCATGGAAAACCTGGAAGCACTGGACGGCCGTTTCGTCCTAGTATGGGACTCCTCAGCAGTGCACATCCACGATCCCGCACCCCGCGGGATTCGAACCCAGGACCTATCAGTCTCGCGCGCGAACGCTTAACCTACTCGAGACGGAAGGCCCTGGGTTTGAATCCCGCGAGTGGGATCGTGGATGCGCACTGCTGAGGAGTCCCATACTAGGACGAAGTGGCCGTCCAGTGCTTCCAGGTTTCCAACAGTGGTCTAACATCAGTCGATTCATGGTCTCAATCAAAAACTTAATAATCTCCACAACCCCAATAATCATATTCTCAAATAAACATTGACATAAATCATGAATATTTTGTAGCTAACACATGGCTTACATCCTAAGCATTCAAACGAAAAATCGTACTCTGAATTCGTATAACAGACTGTTACAAACTGTTGTGTGACCTTATCTGACTTGCATGTTTAGCAGTGATAATACTGATTATGGTGTATTTATTAATACATCATTATTTCTGCTGTTAACTGGTGTAATGTATATGCAGATTTATCTATTTTTGTTACCACTCTTTCTCTATTTACGTATATAAGCTGAGACAAAAATTTTTTCCAGAGTTGCAGTAAAGCTAACTCATCAGTCAGTCAGCTACAACGTAGGACCAGGCACATATATGCATCGGTTCAAGTTGCCATACCGCATTAGCACAGCAAGATCAACACCATATTCATAGTAGTTAAGTCAATGGTGGTAATATATAAAAGGAAGATTGCATATAAGGATATAGTACGGGAAGAAAGAATTTGTACGTAGAAAGAAAGATATGAATGGGTTTTAATCTCATAGTTTAAGGGAAGACAGAGAGTGTATACACCTACGCCATTGTGATCGATTCTGAGCCATGTCACCAAGAGTCTCCAACCATTGGTTACGATAGTCACGCAGACCCCAACCAAAACGCTTGCATCTACCAACATGGCTAAGACTAGAAGTGAGTGACTTCAAGCACTGATGCCACGTTTCGGTTTGGCCGCCCCTAACTTTCTTCCAACCATCCCCAACACCAGTTAACATTGCACGTCGTAGTAATTGGTGTTGAGGTATACGAAACACGTAGCTCAACCATCTCAGTCGATGAACATTCACAACCTCATCAACTGATTTACCATCATTCTCTAATAATTTGCGTCTAACCTCACTATTACTTGATCGGTAATCCCATCAGATGCCAGCAATATTTCTAAGGAACCTGTGGTCAAATACTAGTAGCTTACGAATATCTCCTACTCTTAATGGCTACGTTCCGCAGCCGTAAAGAAAAACAGAATGAACTGCCGTGCAGTATACTCATCCTTTTATTGACAGACGGATATCTCGCCTTCCCCATAGATGACGTAAGTTAGCAAAAGCCAAACGAGTTTTCAGAATCCGTGCTGAGATTTCGTCAGACATCAACCCATTAGGGCTGATCAGACTTTCAAGCTAAGTGTTGTCAACGCTTTCGACTACTTCACTCCCTATCCCTAGTAAAGGTGTCGACGTAGACCAGTCCTGAAGTAACAACTTGCATTTAGAGGGAGAGAAGAGCATCCCAAACATTCTGGCATTGTTGCTCAGTGCTACCAAAAGACTGCATTTTATCAGCGTCTTCATCAAACAGGACTATGTCATCTGCGTATTTTAAGTCGATAAGTGGACCTCCTGGAAGGAGATCAATACATGAGAATTCAGTCGATGAGAGCGTTATTTCCATCAGTAGATCTATGATGAAGTTAAACAAAAATGGAGAAAGTGGACAGCTTTGATGGACGCCATTCGAGGTCGCAAAAGCAGATGACAGTTCGCCATGAGCTCTGACTCGAGTAGTAGTGTTCGAGTAAAGAGCCTTTACAAGGTTTATGTACTTCTGAGGTACACCTTTCAATGACAGACACTGCCACAGAACCTCTCGGTCTACAGAGTCAAATGCTGCTTTTAAGTCAAGGAAGACCACTATTGTCGGACGCCGATATGGTGAATATATGGTCGATGAAGCCACGACCAGGTCTGAAGCCAGCTTGATTCTCTCGTGTTTGCAGTTCACGAGTTATAGTCAGCCGTCCGATAATTATCGAGGCTAGTATTTTAGATGCTGTATTAGTTAAACTTATCCCTCTATGGTTATCTCAGGATGATTTCGACCCTCTTTTATATATTGGGACGATAAGTGATTGTGACCAGTCAGATGGGATAACGTCCGACTCCCAGATTTTAGCTAAATTATTAGTCAACCTAATCACTAAAATTGGACCATCATCCCTAATGACCTCTAGGGCCAATCCATCTGGACCAGCTGCCCTTCCTCCTTTTGGATTAACTATAGTCTTTTGAACTTCAGCTAGAGTTGGAGGACCTACTTCAATGTTCCATTTACACTGTCTGG